CTATTAGAATCTGATGATGAAGAAATAACGACTGATAATGATGAAAAGGAGGGAGTTAAGAAAAGAATGGTAGGGGATGTAAGGAAACAAAGAATCTTAGATGATGTGAAGGAAACAGTACAACACCACCAATCGAAGGCACGGAACTTTGAAATGCAGTTCAACAGTTCGACAGACAGTTTTAAGAAGCTGGAAGGGGAGATGGATATACTAAGAAACGAAACTAAGGTGATGGAGAAAGGCTTTTCCAAACTATATTTCTGCTTCTTTGGGCCGGCCATCCCTCCCAGTATGAGCAGTGAGCTTCAGGAGACATATAACATCATCCTGAAGAAAATCAAAACAGACTTCAACAAGAGTTACAGAATAGAAGAGGAAAAGAGTCAGCTACTGCAGCAGCATAAGCAAACAGAAAAAGAGAAGGCAAAGCTTCGAAATGAAAATCATGCATTGAGGATACAAGTCGAAGGAATCGAAACCTTTTACAAGAATTTAGAAGCCAAGCTTCTCCCTAGAGACCCAAATAGGGTGATACAAGACCAGAGAGCGGAAAGCAGCAGACGGAGCGATAAAGACACTCAGATGAATGACAGTCCTGGTTTTATAGGAACGCCAACGTCAAGCTTACCAGATACGGGAGAGGATATAGAGATGGGGTCGTTCGAAGATGATAACGAATTAAACGTGAAGAGTGGTGATGGAAAGAACGCAGATAGGGAAAAGACGACAGAAGACCTTAGGAAAGAAAGAAAGGCAAGTGATAAAAGGGAAACGATAGAACACAGCAGGCCGAAGGCACGAAACCTGGAATCACGCGATATAGATTCTGAGAAAAGATTGAAATCAATTAACAGGACTCTTGTGAAGGAGAATATGGGGCTAAAAGACTCTATTGCAAATCTAGAGAAGCTTCAAAAGGACAAAGCTGAGGAATTTGAGTCGCAGTTACGGGATTGCAATAAGAAGGCGGTGGCACTTGGAGAGAAAAATGATGAAATGGAGAACGATTTTCGCCTACTATATTCTAACATTTTCGGAGAGGATCTTCTTCTGAGTTTACAGAAGCCATCCGACATCATCTGGGAGAAACTTGAGACAGAATTTAAGAAGCGTTGCAACATAGAACAGGAACAAGTTACGCTATTGGAGAAAGAAAAGACATTAACAGCAAGCCTAGAGGCGGAGAGCAGGAAGCAAGAAATAAGAATACAGCAGCTTGAACAGGAATTCGAAAACGTGTCGCAAAGTCTTCGCCAGGAGCAGGTGGCC